ATGATGATTCGATTTGCAGTCTTGTGCTTCATTAGAATTTTCCGAAGTTCCTTGTTCAAATCAGAAACTGTTGATTTAGTTTGAGGAGAAAATGTCTGTTATGTAGATTAATAGCAGGAGACGTTCTGCTTCATCTGCCAGCCTGTCTGTCTCTCACTGGGAGACCAGAGACAGCATTCTCTCTTCTTATTTAACAGTATTAAACTTTTTGATTCTAGCTGTCCTATCTTAGTAGCTCTGGTCCTATCAACACTTTTTTTCCCATGAGCTCAGACCATTAATCTTGATTTAATTTGCTGGCGATCATATTTTGTTCACTGCCAATACAGGGGCCGGTAATATAAGCAATTACCTTAAAAATATCTTAGAAAAAGTCAATAACAGTTTGTTAACTGTCATCTTCACTAAAGTTGCTTTCTCTCTTCTAGGTAACCAAACCTCACCAGAGGAGAGAGTTTGTCTCTATCATCTCAGTCCCACACACACACACACACACTGTAACATCCAGAGCTCAGCTTGGACTCAAATACAGAGACATAGAATTGAACATTGATTTCCAGAGACATTGCAACAACTTTCCAAGAGTATTTCACCTTTCATAAGTGTGTGTGTGTATTGTTTTTTGTAATGTGTATACATTACCTTGCTTGGTGTCCACGGTGTTGACGGCCTGGATGAGTAGAGGTGCATTGGACTCAGTGTATTCCACAAAAACCAGCAGCAGCTTCAGAGCAGTTTTAACAACCAACCGGAACTGCACACATAAAGAAACACTATTTATCTCTATACAACAATGTAAACAACACTAACCTTAACATTTGTCTTTACACCCAATTATATGACATTTTGCAGCTCACACATGATCTTACACTGTCTTGACTAAATTAACTGTATATTTAAAGGGTGTAAAAGCCCAGAGAATATCTTGACACATTTTCCTGAATGGGGTACTATGGAGGATATTGATAACAGCTTCTGACACATGACTGCACACTGACAGGAGGAGGAGCTACTTTAAATGTCCTGCAAGTAGCCTGTTGCAACCCTTTTTTCCTGTCTGTTCTCTTGGTTTTTTAGTCCTCTATCTTAATTTTTACTTACTTACAATGTTTCTATTTCATACTGTATTTTGTGCAACTTTATGCCCATTATGTGAACCTATTTCCTATTAACATCAATTAAACAGTAGTGTCACTGACACGCCCTCACTGCAAAAAAACAACAACAAAACAAAACAAAACAAAAACAAAACAAAACACATTTAGTCATGTTAATTTTTCTTACCCCACTGGCAATTTTTGTTTTGTTGTTGGATGTGTGTGTGTGTGTGTGTGTGTGTGTGTGTTTTAAGCACAAATCTAACACAAAATTGAGGTTTGTGATAAAAATATAAACAATTTGCTAATGAGTTAAAAAATAAACTCAATTTATAACATATTTTCTAAAAACAGGATTTATTACTGTATACAGATTTTCTTCTCAAAGAAAATTTCTCATCAGGATATTTTTAGAGGAAAACAAAAATTACAGATTTAAAAATTATTAAAAAAAAGGATTTTTGCTTTTGCTAAATTTTATATACTTTCTTAAATGAATCAGACATGGAGATATTGAGCCATTGTGTTTCCCTGATAAGGAAACTGTAAAAAAAAAGAGAAGAGCCACAGGAAAAAAAAAAATTTGAAAAGAAAAGAAGAGCAAAACATACAGGTTCAGGAATGTGAATGTGTGTATGGAGTGGAGAAACAGGAGTAGAAACAGATCTGTGTTTAATAAAATAAGAGCTGCATTTTCAAACCATACTGTGTATTTCATATGTACCATATAACAGAAAGAGAGAGAAGAGGAAATGCATTTAAACACTGCTGCATCCAGCACAGAACTCCATAAAAATATCTATTGATGTGGTGATCACAAACATCCATTCTCATCCAACCTCTAGCACACACATCCATGTGTCATCATCACATGTGCTCATATTGCCACTAGATGGCTGGACAGGATTGAGAAAGGAAATCAGTCCAGAACACTGGATTGTGCCGTGCGAAACCATGCCACACTCTGTGTGCTGGCACACCTGGAAGCTGCCCTGCTGAGTTAAAGCATGCTTTACAAACATTGGCTTAAAAGAGCATAAATACAGGGAAAAAACAGGAAAGTCAGTCATGAACACTGCGTGCAAAACTACGCCACCCTATGAGTATTGTTCAAGTTGGCACACCTGGAAGCTACCCTAACTTAAAACATTTGCAAACATTGGCTAAAAAGAACATAAATACAAGAAAAAACACCATTCAGGCCTTACTGAATTCATTACCTCTGAACAAAATAATAGATCTGGATATTCAAAGCAAAAGTTTCTCCTCTACTTTTACTTCAAGACTATTTTGTCTAAATTAAGAGTGAAACACTAAAAACTAAAATCAACTGTTTTAAATAAATCACAACATCACAACATGATAAAATGGATATTCCTTTTGAGATTTGCTTAAAAATTACACTTAACAGTGTAATTAAATTATTAGTTTGTTTAAAGATTAATTATTTTTTATTAGTTAAATGATTAGTTAATTTAAACATTAACTTTAAGTGAGCACAATTAAATATTTAATATCAGCTGATATATATATATATATATATATGTCTTTTACCTTTGATCCAACTAGTGTGTAAAGCCACTGTACAGTTTCATTGTGTCCGATAATCAGCTGATATATATATATATATATGTCTTTTACCTTTGATCCAACTAGTGTGTAAAGCCACTGTACAGTTTCATTGTGTCCGATAAGCCCATTCATTCCATCCACATACAGCATGATTTGTCCAAGAGCTGAAAGAGAGAAAGAGAGATAAACATATAAATACTTTTAAGTCGCTGCAGTTATAGGGTGTTTGGATTACTAGGATGTTCTGGGTAATGCTAATTAGTTCAAGTCTGACAAGTCCACTACCAACACTCTTCAATATTCTAGTCTTTTGTTCTAGCTTGGATTCTAGTGTTCAATCCTTCATAAAAAATACAGATGAACTGAAAATAATTTCAAATTATTATTCAATAAAATAATTTAATATTATTTTAATAAAATAATAAAAATAAAATTTCTATTTTATTGAAATTATTGCTATGACTGCTCTGAAGGGATTGTTTTCCAATTTTTTTATTCATTTGTAGCAAGTGTTTTTAGAGATAAAGTTAAATATATTCACATGTATGCATTTGGCAGATGTCTTTATCCACATTGCATTCAAGATATACATTTTATCAGCTCATGCATTCCTTGGGAATTGAACCCATGACCTTGGAGTTGCTAGTGCCATGTTATGTTTGAGCCACAGGAACACAATAAATAGTTCACTGCTTTGAAACCAAGTTAATCCATTACATCTTCTGGAACTCAATTAAAACTTAATTTCATTACAAAAGGATAAATTGATGTGTGCTAGCGTGGGATTTGAACCTGAATACATTCGAACAGGAGTATGAATTCAAGATTTTAGTATTTAATATTCATTGAGCAAAAGTGTGTGCTTTGAAAATGATCGATTTTCATTTGACACAACAAAGAAGCAACATTGTCTTGTTCCACTGATGTGCATGAAGCATGTGTGTGTCTTTGCATGTGATACAGCAGTGTGGTCAGTGTTTCCATTGTCTTCATAAAACATCATTGGCTCTCCTTAGCAACTCAGGGGAGGTCTTCTGGTGAGGGAAGTGTCGTGACAGAGCCTGAGTTATGAAGAAAATGCTTCACACACCAATGAACCCTCACATATGTGTCCAAAGTTTAAAGCAACCAGAATACAAACAGACACAGTCTTCTATATGTGAAGAGCAGGATTTCACTCTGATCAAAGTGAATAGTGTCAATGAGATCCATCTGGAGCTGTCTGAATCACATCTCTGCTGCAAAGAGTTATTGTATCATACACACACACACACACATTAACTCACATGCTCCCTGGAAGATATAAGCTGTAACAGGTGAACCATTCTCAAATAAACAACTGAACTGTTAGACTTTGTATCTTCACACAAACATAGAAATATACAAACACACCAACACAAAACCACATTTATAGGTTAATGCAATCAAGTTGCATTAAATGACAACCTAAGTGTCCTGGAACTAAATAATGATGGTGGAAACAAACATTGCCGACCAATCCTACCATAGCAACTGCTGTTCATTATTTTCCCAGACAAACTTTAGTGTTTAGATAGTTTTCAATGAAATTTTAATACATTTACATTTTGCAGTTTAATACATAATATACAATGAAATATTGGAATTATATAAATATTGGAAATATATAAAAATATAATAAATACAGTTTGTATATATCGAAGTTGATGCTTTGGATTAAACTGTGTGTTAACCCTCATTCCCGAATGTAGACATTTGCAATTAATGCTACTAAATTAACATAATTTAATTTAAGTATTAACCATCACAACTGGTCATTGAAATGTGGATAGTAACTAAGAGTTCATACTTTCATAGTGAATGTGCTGTTGAAACGTTAGGAACAGTTCTCTTCACATAATCTTATTACTTGAAGTCACGATTTGCAGTTATAATTTAACAGATTCTTTAAAGAGATATGGCAGATAAGATTTTTTTTTTTAAGCGTTGAAATGTCATTCTAGCCCATGTAACAAAACCATTCAATCACTTTTTACCACTTTATGAGCACATCTGTCTGAAATATCCCGTTCATTCCTCTGAGGTGTTCTTAAAAACATGACTGAGATAATGAAAGATTGGTATTAATTATAAGTTGTAATGGTAAATGTTGACTGTAAAGCTTAGGTTCTATACAATTTATTAGCTGTTAATGAAACACAGTGATTATTTAATTACCTTTATGAGGTGACAGGAATAATAAAATACATAACATTGTTGCTCTTCATTTCATTACACTAGTGCTAAAAATGCTTTCTATTTTGGCCAAGTGACATTACCTCTGCATCACTTTGATTCTGACCAAATTGACTTGAATGTACATCATAATTAAGATTTCTAAACTTTCAGAACAGAAAAAGTCAGAACTTCTGAGGAGGGGAAGGCAGCATATGTTCAAGCTGAGAGACTCCGTGGAAAGGCAGGAGTCATAACAAACAGCTTCACATGCACATATAGAGCAGTTTAAATATTGCTCTTGAAGCCTGAAATCTCAGCCTGTGTGGCAGTGCAGTGGGGAAAACATTTGAGCAGGCACATCCACCAAAGCGTAACACGACTTCCATTTGTAGCAGGACACATAAAGCAGGTCATAACAAGAGCTCAAGGAACCCCATAGGAGGCCACTAAAATCACAGAGCTTCCATTTGACAGAAAAGACGAGGAAGAAATAAAACCAAGAGTTCTGACAAAGACACAAGCAACAAGGGGTGAAGGTCAATGTGACTTTCTGAGCTGCAGTTCAGCTGAAGAAAGATTTCTGGCTCCACTGAAGGGCTTACAGGCAAATCTGTTCTCATACATGCACTCTATGAAAAATGGCTGGCTTGCTCGATAGATAGCTAGATAGCTTGCTAGATAGACAGATAGACAGATAGACAGACAGACAGACAGACAGATAGATAGATAGATAGATAGATAGATAGATGTGTACACATCATAACCATGAAATAAATAAATAAATAAATAAATAAATATTTAGATAACTAAATAAATGTATTTATTTCAAGGCTCTGCACTGTTGTGCCACAATCTGCACTAATCCTGTGCCATGTCAGGAAAAAAATCTTAATCTTAATATTTGATTAATTAATATTTTAAGAAAACTGCTTAAAATATTCATCGTTTACTTAAAATGTTTTCAGAAATGTCATATTTTCTTTATAATAACAAACAATATCAGGGAGAACTTAATCCCTATAAAAAATAAAAAATAAATACCCATATTGGTCGCACTTTATTTCAAAGTCCAGTTAACTAACTACTAACTATGACTTTTGCCTCAATAAACTCCTAATTACGGCATATTAATAGTTAGTAAGGCAGTTGTTAAGTTTAGGTATTGGGTAGGATTAAGAATGCAGAATTTGGTCATGCACAATTATATGCTTTATAAGTACTAATTAACAGCCAATATGCTAGTAATATACATGCTAATTAACAACTAGTTAATAGTGAGAATTGGTCCCTATACTAAAGTGTTACCATTTATGTGATACATTTCATATAATATATTTTATTATATACAATTTTTATTATAATAAATGTAAATTATGTAAATTGAATTGTATAATTGTGTAAATTGTATATTGTTATTAACATTATATATAATAAATATTTTATAATTAAATAAGTATTGCCCCCCAAAAATGACAGGCTCTTTCAACTGAAATGCAAGACTTATTGAGAGTTACAATTTTGCAGTGGCCCGTCTGCTCCTCATCATACTGTCTCTGTCTTAGTTCATCCAAAGCTTTTTTTTTTTTGGTCTGGCTTTAATGACAACTGAAAAAGATCAATTATATCTCCTGACCCAACTGTGACACTAAAACCCATTTAGCAACACTGCTAAACCTTACTGTTTCCCGGCACCATCTGCAGCTTACAGCTCCGGGTTGTACCTGAAACGATTCCTCTTAGCTGGAGCAGAGCCTGCAGGATAAATGCTGTCAGATTCCCATAGCAAGAGTGAGAAAAAGAGAGAGAGAGCGAGAGAGAGAGAGAGAGACCGAATGAGAGCAGAGCGGTGACCAGGCTGAACTCTGTCTACTGCGTCTCCACATGGGAGAATGAGGAGTTATGAATGCACCACACGCAGGCCAAGATTCCCAGGTGCAGCAGTCTGGTGTGTGTGGCTGACTGCTGGACTGACTCTTCATCTTTTATCAATCAAGGCTAATTACTCAAAACATGTCAGTGACAACATTCCACATGTGTTTTTTTCTACTCACACAAAGTTGCAAGACTACCCGAATGACATGCAGGATCGTTCCTACAGTTTGGTGAATTTTGGACTGAGCAGGTTTGCTGAAAAAAGCTAAAAATATCAACAATTTTTTAGTCTTATCAGAGGGAGAAAACGTCTGTCTTTAGAAAAAACACACTGGTAAAGCTCAGGCTAGCAGAACATAATAATCCTGACCAAGTATTTCACAAGTGGTCTAGGAAATTTGTTACATGACATTTTTGCACTGTGTAACAGGGTGGACCTTAACAGGGTGGACATTTTAAGCTAAAGAAGCTCATTACTAGCTAGGAACGAAAATTTAGGAAGAATTTTAATAGACTGCTTCTTCAAAGTCTTCAGATTAAGTCTTCGCGAAAATGAGGTAAAGAGAAAGAAATATTGACTAATATTAACCTTGTTTTTTGAGGTGCTTTCCCTCCAAGGAAATGATGTCACTTCCACCACTAACTAATTTAATGGTTTTACACATTAAAAAGAAAAATATGTACCACAATAAATTGTATGTTATGTCAAAAGGAATACGTAAATGTATAAACTAATACTCAAAACGGCTCATTTAAAAATATATAGGATGTAACCTTTATTTCAAAAGTATTATTCTTTGGTACTAAGACACATCTATTATTATTATTATTATTATTATTATTTAACAACAGTACAATTACAATACTAATATTTTTACAAACTTATTACAAAATGTTTGAAGCATATTGCATCTTTTAAATGCAAAGAATCATAGTGCTGCACTTCACTCTGAAAGACTTAGTGCATCAGATTATATATTTATATAATTACAATGCAGTCTTTGTGATTTGATAATGGCGCTAAAACATATTGTGTTCCCGACCACTGTTTCACATACCTGCCAACATTGATTTTTGCTCGCATTTGTTGCTAGAT